GGTTCTTTTCCCTTCATCTTGTTTCTTTATTGCCCTTACAATGACACTTAATGCAATAATGTTCTTTATATGGGCAAGACTTTTTGTAATGACACCCTCTACATGACCAGCATGGATATGAGGCTGGTTTCTTGAACTATCCTTCTTACGTACAAGGGAATCTTTCTGGCCATTTGTTACCTGCACATACGGTGACCGGCCACTGTTTTCGACTATAGAAGTATCATGTTTTAGGTTCATCAACCTCTGATATTTTTGTAATGTTATATTTGGACACTGTTCAATTTCGCCCAGAATTCTGGTTCTGCTGTCGGTATCTTCAGGTGACTGCAAGCTGCATACAAAGACAAGACATTTGAACTAGTCTTCTGTCACTGCTGATAAGTTGAACCCCTCACACTCGCGACTTACTATGCTATCATGCTGTACCCAGTCATCGTCCCCCTCTTTAGCCAACTTCAGATATTGGTAACGAATACTGAACAACGATGACAATTCAAGGAAATTTCGTGACAAAGTTACGACCGTTGTACCAAATGAAAGGCCTCTTGGATCCTTAGGGAGAATGAAATTAGTGTGGTGCTCATGTCCAGCTGTGCCAAGTTTGCACAGCAATACATTGACATCTGCGGCATCATTAAATTTCCTAAGTCTACCTTGAATACATCTTCATATTTCTTGAACCATGATTCAAATGTGACACCAACCAAACTATCAAAATGAAATGCATGGATGGAATTAATAGTGTGATCAACATGAAATTTGAAAGGATCATCCGTATGCCCCCTCTGATCTAGGTTCATTTGCTGGGTTAGCGTGTCTATAATACGATTCTGGAACTGTTCAAAACGTTTTACTTAACGCTTCATTAGACCTTTAATTTGTTCAAAGGTAAATAACATCTTGATAAGATAACCCCATCGACAATTGTTGTAACTTGTGAATTGAATGCTGATTGTCTTGTCGTTTGAATGCTACTTGTGATATCTGGTCGCCGCTGATCATTATGTCGGAAACGCTTATCACTTATACTCGGAACGAAGGACCTCCGCAATTTCCACGACGCAAAAGTAAGAACAAAGACTGGTTTAAGTAAAGATTTATTAACTCAAAAACACGACGACGACAACCCTAGTCGAAAATACGCCCATTTATATATTGATTGTACACACAAGTTGATAAATAATTAGGATGAAATTACATATATGAAAAAATAATTACAATTATAACAAATCACATAATGAGCATAGTTCATGTTCATTGAATACAAGAATATCGTATATTATACAGAATAAAATATCATACGAGAAAACAAAATAACTACTACACTGAATAATCATCACATTGAGTCAGAACGGAAGCAACGTTGAACAAAACTCAGAATAGGTAAATTAACCAAATTTTGACTTCTTTCCATCATATCAATGGTACGCCTTCATGAGACAATAGAGATGTTCAATACTTTCCTGTATACATAGTGTACTGTTCCCCTTCAGAGAGGAAGCAACATGGCCAATCTGTTATCAAGATATCAGTGTTGACGCCGATTAACTTTTTAAGTAGACGTTGTCTGGGGATAGAATCAAAAACAGAAGTATAGTCTGGAAAAGCACATTGAGCATACTTCTTACCCTTTTCCAAGCTGAACAATACATTGTGATGCAGAACAGCACCGGTATCCAAGGTACTTCTTTTGCATTTGTAGGCAAACTGTTACGGATCAACGTGCTTTTTTAGTGCAGATTAGTGCGATGGTATCAATAATCGTTCCAATGTTCCGAGGAAAGTGAAATAATTGCTGTGTCTAGATTTCACATCATTATTACCTGATACTTTCATAGATTCAGGGATTATCGTTGTCTTTCTTTACATTTCGCGATGAGATTACTTGAGAAATATCTGTTAAAGATGCTCGTGAATAGACAACGTAGAACGTCAGCACATATTTTAAAAAGGGGTTTTGGGATACCATGAGGTCTTAAACGTTGGCATGAATTAAGTAGCAAGAGACATTTGCGGACATCAGTTTCAGTGAAACTAGGATCACAACTATTTTTCACACCTGTGGATATAGGGAGCATTATGTCAGATGACTGATGTACAAAAGACATATTTAAGTCACAAACATTCAAATGGTCATCACTTCTAATGTTCCTGTCACTTTTAAAAAATTTTCACATGATTGAAGAGTTTTTGCAAGACAGGAAATTTCGAGTAAACATAGATTTGAGACGTCTAATCTCTAGGTTTATTAGGTTATTTGGCTTACAAACTTCTATAGAGTTTTTCTCCTTATACATTCTTTCTTTCATCATTCGTAATCGTTTTAGTTGTGAAGATGTGAGTCGATCAATACTTACAAAAATGGTTTCAGTGGGGCAACAAATATCAAAACACAATTTGAGGCAACAAATGATAACATCAGTAGTGCTATCCAGTGAGTCATCTGTAAATAATTCCCAATTAGTCGTACGAAATATGGTTTTCAGATTTCGAATACTTTCTTCTGAGTAACTCCCATATTTGGCTATCTTCATTTGATGTAAGAGAGCACTGTTTCGATGCTTTCCATATACTTTAGGTAGAACACGAATTGTACAGTGATCCGAGCGAGACAATGGAGCACGTTCACGAGTCACATATATACCTACATCATTTATGAAAACGAAGTCTAACTGAGCATCCAAACGATTAGGAAAATCTACTACATTTCGGTGACCTAATTATGTAAGGAAGCTACAGTCACATGAATCGAAAGCACCACATGCGACTGAAAGTGAATCATTGAGGGCAGTTACAGCGAATTCAGTGAATTCATCACCAATACGTTGCTTCTTAATGTACCTTTTTACAACTTGTGTAGCAAAAGGTCATAAACATCTCATGAACGCGCCTGTATAGATTATGCATTTAATAAACATAATGATGAGTAAAAACAGGTAACTTGTTGAAGTAATTAGATGGCATAAATAGTTAAGTCAGATATTCAAGCAGGTCACCCTTGCATCTATGGATTCACGTGTAACTGCAGAGACAGCTATGCAGGAATTTTAAAGCGTAAGAGATCTACTAAAATTCCTGAACGTGTTCCCTGTGTAATGAAAGATCACTTGGAAACAGGAAATCGGTTTAGCTACACATATTAACAATGTCTTTACAAAATATGAAAACAATACATTAAAAACACTATATTCACATATTCCTTAGATTGTCTCTTTCAAACTCCATCGTCCTTGTATTCCAGAGATTTAATTAAGTGTTTTCTCTTTTCATTCTTTTCCTCTTCATCTTACCTTTTTTTCAGTAGGAATTTTACTCTCACTTCCTGATACATACTACTTATATCTGTTCGTATAAGTAGTGTACACCACACTAGCATCCTATGTTTGAGAGGGAATTAACTCATCACAAGTACAATCGCCTGATATCTTTCGAATGTGAGTAATTTATACAAAATTATAAACAAATAGTCAATACCAATTCCACTGCATTTTGCACATACAGATGGTCTGTATCAAACATTTCCTACTTGAACCATATATACGAAGAGAAAACAACGTGTGCTCAGACTTTTCATGTCATGATAAATGAACACTTTCCTAAAAACGTTTATTAGGCTTTAATTTTTCAAATTACTTTGCAGCCATGCAATCTCGTTTCATGTATTCGTCGTTTTCTTAGATCTATTCATGTTTATATATCTCAATAATTGAGATAATGAGTCGATTGAAACTAGACTACCATGGAAAACCTGGAAGCACTGGATGGTCGTTTCGTCCGATTGTGGGACTCCTCCTCGGTAGTACGCATCCACAATCCATCCTTGAGAGAACCGAACACAGGACCTACACATCTCTTTATTTTAATCAATATTGAGTGATTACTCAATCCTCAATTTATTTCATTACACTTAAATAAACTCTGATTTTGAATACGATTACTGGTAACCAGAATACCCATTCTACTCTGTGTTATTACATTTCAACATGCTTTGGTGATGTTTCTTCACACGCGTTGTGTTATATACTTCTTGATAAGATGAGTTCGGTTGCGTTTTGTTTCATTATAGAATTCTCAGTACAGAGCATATCAAAAGCTGAATGTTAGCTGTCCAGTCAATCGATATTTGAATAATGCTCATTCTCATATATATAATTCTTCGTACACAGTACTTCAACAAGTTTCCTTTTCCTATTTCTTGATCAATCCCAACGATAAATATTGAGTAATCACCACGTACATGTTTGCAGTGCAGTCACTCGACATTTGAATAATATTCATTCTTATTGAATGCATATTATCTGCCAGCCATCACGATGTCTCTGAATGTATATTGTACGGAGAAAGTCCGTAAGCTTTTCAGAAACGCGACTGGATAGATTATGTGATAATTATACATGATGATGTGTTAAAACAAACAAAATCAGATAACTTGTCTAAATGTCTTGATTTTGAGAACAGTTAGTCCAGATATTCAAGCAGACCGCCAAACCTTATAGTTCTTACTATACTAACCCTTATCAAGAGATCTTGATTTATGAAATTATATTCACTGATCTACTTGTTCTACTCAATAGACATCCACCGTGTAGAATAAATGGTCATCGTACAATGATGTTGATCAGGTTGAAAGGAGAGGACGACATGTGTCAAATTGAACAATGAGAAACACATTCAACGTCTACTAACCACAATAATTTTCAACACAAGGATTTAATCGAACAGCTTACAAGACACTATTCAATTTAGCAGTTGCGTAATGGACACTTCAATCGTTGGTTAAACTACACCTTCTCTCAATAGTAAATATAAACAATGGATCTATGTCTAACCTAAGGGAAGATTACACTCCTATTCGACCAAAACAATTTATGGTAACTATCTACACAATTTACAAACACTGAACAATTGACACACCAAAGTATTTCTTTATTTCTCAAAGAATACTAGTAATGTAACATACAAAATGAACTTCTGTTGTAATTAACAATTGTTATATTCTAGAAGATGAATCTTCTTAAATGACCATTGATCAGTCCAATCACTATCACGGAGATTGATGAAACGGTTATCCAAGATAGTTTCAAGGAGTCTAAATTGTTCGAGAAAAAGAAAACAGTTTTGGTAAATAGTGAATTAAAAACAAACATTCGGATAAATCAAAGTACAATTAGTTAAATGAATGGCTTTGTTAATGGACATGTTCACTATATTTGAATGATCAACCACTAATCTACTGATGAGTTTGTATACATTCAGAGTGTTTCCAAAAGTTATTTTTAACCAAACAATTGTGTAATGAATGGAATGCCAGAGTAAATGGTCAAGTGAATACTTTCTGACGAAATCACTTACTCGCTGAACTCTCAGCTGTGGATAAAAGTGTATGGAAAACAAAGTGAGTTCTTATATATAATTCATGCATTGAAAACTTTTCATGAAACTTCAAATTGTATAAAATCAGTAATGATCCATATAAATGAAGTGTGCATGATTCATTGGGCTGTTAGTTTGGAAACGGAACACATACTCTCTGTCTTATTTGAGAGTCGTCTGTTGGATATACGTAGTTGGTGATGTTGGTATTTAAACACTAGGATTCGAACCCAGTATCTTTCACTTTAAACGCCAGATAGTTGTGTATTCACTGCTCTACTCAATTCAAACGGTCACTTACGCGTTTCGAAAGTGTTATGTTTATGTCATTTTAAGCGAAAGTGTGAATTATTCGATTTGTGTTGTTGAGGATTGAATAATGGTCGATCGACTCATACCTTAACCAACAATTATATGAGTGGAGACTCATTAATTTATACATCGATTATTCGATTTAGCATGCATTTTGCACACACATCCGCATACGCAACTAACCGTTTCATCAATCAAGATACATTAGTATGAAATAACCTGTTCACCTAGCAGAGGGAAATTCACAGGATCCTCATCCGTGTAATAGTTCAAAATGTTTACTTTATGATGTCCTGACTACAGACAAAATAAGATCAGATTTCTTTCTTAACTCTTCTCTTAAAACTCTTCATCAACAACTCCAATATTTAATAACTGAATAGAACATTAACAATCTCGATAGACATAAATGGTAAGGACTTAAGACTTACGCGTTGTAGTGGCTGCAATTAAAATAGACTTTCACATTTTACTCAAACAATCATAAATGAATGTTGAGTAATTTTGTAATTTATTCAAAACTGTGGTAAATACATATGTCACGTTAAATGCATCATGAATGGTGAAGACAGATCGTTCACAAAGTCTGCATAACTCGACATCATTCCAGAATATGATCCGTCTCAGATATCTACTTCTCCTAGAAAACCATGATGATTGATAGTAGTAGGAGCTTCATCTATGCCAGTATTCCTCTCGGTCTACAGTCTTAAATGTGATATTATCAAACAAAAATAACGCGAATCTAGTTAACATTGAATTTGTTTTTTCAACTTACGCATACGTGCATCATTAGTACGTTCTGTTTCTTAACAGAATGGATTACTGAAATTAAACTACCTCTTTACATCTTCAGATATCTGTTGACAATAATGAACAGAATATACTATTCATAACATATGCCCATAACTGACATCAACTTTGAAGACAACATCTTTCATGAATCTATACATAGAACCAACAGTTTTCCGTCATTTGAAAACCAAGTCACCATCACACTCACTCTTCGATATGACAGTGTTTCATAAATCATTTTAATACATGTGTGCCATCAGTTCTGTGAGAAAAATATCTTGTAATGTTGGTTAACATCGCTATTTGTTGTCTGTCAGCGATATGTTCCCTCAAATTCAGTGGTGAAATGAAATTCTTCAGTCGAAACATTCACTGTCCTAATGATAATCATTCCACACCCGTGTAAATAGATCCATCACAACAATCATCTGTCATAGACTTTCATATTTACTGCGAAAGTGATTCAATTACTAAGATTGTTGATCATTTCAATCCAAACATCAGCGAATATGAATAGTTGAGTGATGAGTTAGGATTCTTGTGATGCGCTAAATTCGTTATCCACATTCATCTCAAAATAGTACCCAGTATTGTCATATTGATTTACAGTAAACTGAAGTACACAGTCAGTTATTGACAAGTTAACTTATCAATGATGTCATCTTCTGTGAAAAGACAACTTGATATGTTCTACGATCTAAGTGAATACAAACGACTGGTAAATCAGTCATGTAGGAATCTCAGCTAGACTAGTTATATTGTGAATACAATTGCATCAATAATTAGTTATAAAACACATTCACGTGTAGCTGACATACAGTTTCAATTATCATATTTAGTAGTAGTAGTTAATCTAACAATGATCAGATTTTACATAAAAGACAACTACAAAGTATCATTCACTGAACAATCGTCAGTAGCAAAGTATGTTTCATTATTCAGTGAACTGTTCATATATGTGTATTACAGTGTTTTATGCAATAGAAAGACCTGTGGATTAAGAATCAAGGGTTTCTTCTTTGTCTATGAAGATAATGTGGACGAATTACTGATAAATATTGATCAACCTACATAACCATGATTACGTTTTAGAGTGATGCTTGTTTAAGTTAGGAAGACTACGAAATGAATTATAAGTGGATCCTGTTGATGAGTTCACAAAGATATGAAACGAGACTATCTCATTACACTGTTAAACATAATTCAACTTCACTAGAACTTATATTCAAATGACAATGACTAGGCATTGAATAAGTACTAGACACATAGAAGAACATCTTTCAGGTGTTTGAAATGATTTAGGAAGTATCGATCTTTGTTCAAACTCACCAGACAATTGTAATCAGAAAGTGTTGATTCCCACCGAATATCATTTGTTATTCATCCATTGTAGTTCTCTCATTAAGTTAATTTTATTCAATTTTCCCTATACAATGACACAATCACTTCCCTTAAATATAATTATTAATCAGCATAACTGATTGTTAAGATTTTATCTGACTAGATTATTCAACATACAGCAATGTGAAATATCATGCTTGATGTCCATTTCCTCTTATTATAAAGTTTTAGTTACACTCTGAACATCCACCTGGACTTCATTAATCGAATTATATTAAACAAATTTTTCCATATCATACTATTCTATGTAACTGATTACAACCAAAATAACAACAACGACAACTCAATAAGGAGATTATTCGTGAAACAATCAATTAGGCAATGACCAAAGGAGTTCAATACGGTCTGTTGTGAGATAGTAACTAATTAAAGACAATGGTGGATAGTGGCTCAATTTCGTGGATTGGTTGAAGTTAGACATTAACATCATTGGATACCGACTCAGTAGTGAAGAATTTGAGCATTCGCTCGAGACCAATAGGTCCTGTGTTCGAAACCCTGCTAGCTAGATCGTGAATGCGCGCGGCTGAGCGGTCCCATACTAGGGCGAAACGGCCGCCTAGTGCTTCCAGACTTTCCATTGGGATCTAGCTTCAATTGACTCATGAACTCAACTTTTAATTTACTATAATTTACTATAATTCTGATAAGAATTAATCTTTGTTTATGAATAAGGATACGAACTAATGAAAATAAAATTGATCTTATTTGCTTTGTGTATAGCATCGATAGGAAATAAATTTCAGTCAAGCTTAGGAAGACTGTGATATGAATTATAAGTGGATCCAGTTGGTGATTTCACAAAGGTATGAAACGAGACTATCTGATTAGATTGTTAGACATAATTCAACTTCACTAGAACTTCTCATGTTCAAATGACAATATCAAGGTGATTTATTTAAAATGTACATAAGAAACAAATGTCAGTCAAGCTTACTAGTTTCCTCTTCGAATGAACCAGAACCTGAATGTTAGAAAACAGAAATGTTAACGATTACAATAACCATCATTATTATTCTCTCTCAATGTAATTATGTAACAATGAAACATTCATACTATTCATTATATTATACATAATTACCTGTTACATCATGTACAAATGTCAACCATACAATTGTACTAATAAACGTTACTAGACAATGATGATGATAATGCATAATCTCCCTTCTTCGAATTGATAACTCGTTAGTAGTTGTGACTGTTTGTTGATTTACATTTTATAATGAAATTTCTATTCCAGAAGAAGAAGAAGAAGAAGAAGAAGAAGAAGAAGAAGGATATTCGAACTGTTTACTTTGTTATGCAATCCTTATGTAAATAAAAGAAGGAGAAGTAACAAAAAAATGCGATTGTATTCTGATATAATGAGATGAATGTAACACTGATTAATTAAGTTTACATTAGATGTAGAAAGTAAATTTCCAACAGGAGTAATTCTATGCTATTACCTCTTGATAGTCGAGCACATAGTCTTAGTTTAGCTCAAGTCAGAATAAGTAAGCTACTTGGCTTGATAAATTAGATCTATTTCAAAAACATAAATTAACACTGTTACTACACAAATAAACAATACAGTCTATTAAACAGGGGAAAAGGACAGACCTAAATAACATACCGAATAGTAACTAGAGAATAAGAAAAATGAGTCAACGAAGCGATTAATGTTTTATGATAAACATACATTTGTGATTGGTCAATAAACAAGGCATAGTCATACAAAGTCAGGGAAAGTCAATGTGGTGATAGGCGTTTCATATTATCATTGGTAGGTTTGTTTATCGATCACACTTTACTTTAGATGACCCATTAATTAATATCAAAAGGCGTTTTTGTGGGTATTATTGTAATGTTTACATATCTCAGTAGTTGAGATCATGAGACAATTGAAGCTAGACCACCATGGAAAACCTGGAAGCACTAGAAGGCCGTTTCATTTTATTGTGGGACTCCTTGTTGGGAGTGCGCATTCACGATCTTGCCAGGCGACATTCGAACCCAGAACCTATCAAGGCTTAGCCTCTAGACCACTGAGCCGGCCGGCATCTAACGGTGTTAATGTCTAAATTCAACAAATCCATGTAATTGAGTCACCATCCACTATTGTCTTCAGTGAGTTACTATTTCACAACAGACCCTGTTGAACTCCACTGGTCAGTGCTTCTCACTTTAACTCCACGAAATACCGCTTGAATCCGTTCACTAGTGAGTATATCTTGATTAATATCAGAAGGGGTTCTTGTGGATGTTATAGTCCCACAACAGAACAAAACGGCCGTCCAGTGCTTCCAGGTTCTCGATGTTGGTCTAACTTCAAATAACTCAAGATCCATTAATTTAGGAAGAAAAAAACAATTATTTTAAGGATAGTGATTAATGAGGGATTACTGATTATGACTGATTTTATGCAATGAACTAAGTTAGAAGTCCATTGAAAACTAGAAAGCGAAATATAGATGTATTGGACACTTGATCGCTTCTGATCCCTGGTAGATCATATGTTTGATTGTTATTGAAATATACATATCGTTTATCCTTATGTAAAATTATTGATTTAATCCGTTTTAGTGTATAACTGAATTAAATAGGTCAAATACGAGAATGAAGTTTTGAATATGTATATTTTGTACACTGATTCATTTGGACAAACAATTAGAGGGACGAAGCGAAATGATGCGCGATGAAGATGGCGGGTTAGCCAACTCGATTTAATCAAGCGGTAATCAATATTTATAGTTACACAGAAGTAAGCAATCGACATGTGATTAGTAGGATAAGAAGTGCACACACACATATACGCTCATATTAAAAAGTCAAGGTTAATAGGCAAGTAATTAACAAGATCAAAACGTAACTCATGAAGAATGGATAAATTGGCCTGTTCATAAGTTAGAATAAGTTATAAGGGCTTAACATAGTAACCGACACTATATTCTTATCCAGAATCCTAACACTTAGGTTCGATCCCAGGAACTTAAATCTTGCGCAAGAACACTTAACATCAAAACTACTGATCTAAAATCTAATGGTTTATATGTTTAACTTCAATGGTAATGTAAAACCATGTTTAATTGTCTTCATTTGGTTACTTCATCACATATAAAATAGTTGAACTTCACTAGTTACAGCTTTTCACTACAGTTCTATAATGAAATCCTATAATCGATCAGTAAAGACAAATGGATAATTATTATAAGTCAAGTGATTTATGAAGATTTTCAAATGTTACAAATAATATGAACGAACTTAAGTTATTTATAGGTATCATAGCCCCCGAATGCCCCGGTGCGCTCGAGAGTGGGGAGATTCAGCTCTCCCTTTCGAAATGCTCTCACATGGCCACGCATACACAGCCTCTGCCAGGGAAGTCTTACTCACTGCCTTCTCGCACCACGGGTGTTGTTTACGAAAATAAGAGGACGAAAAGCGAATGTCCGGCACCGTCTTTAACCGGATCCCAAACCAATGGTGTACATGGGCTCCAGTATCCTGAAGGAACAAATGGCGTATGAACCAATCGTTGGTCACCGGCTCCCATGGGACTGCATCTCCTAACGATGTTCCACTGTCTTGTGGTTCAGACGTTCAGGTCAAAGGCTCGGGGTGTGGTCCCCTAAGAAAATCACCTGCTTCGGTTTGGGCACCCGAGCAGTATCACAGCCCTCACACAAATCAATTGAGATTCGTGTGACGCATATGTATTTGGTGCCTCCTTGTATCAATACCTATGTGTTAAAATAATAAATAATAATAATTACCAAGGTTTAATTTGATAATATCGAATAAATTGAGCATTGAGCAGATTGTTATAAATAAATATACATTATATACTCTAAAGAAGTGTCTTACATCAAGTTACGAAACGTCAGACAATCTAATTTTTCTACTTATTGGGATATTACAAATATATTGTTCATCTTCGTCATCACTACATTATCACTATCGGACATTGAGTCAGTCCATTGATTGTTGATATATACATAATCAGTAGTATATGTAGGATATTGAAATTTATGAAATGAATAATATTTTTTTTTCATCAATGAAATAGTAAACATTATTCAATAAAGTATTATGTTCTAATTTTATACATGGATAATTATAAAGTAAATCATCTTTCATCTTTTTTTATGATTATTTACATAAACTATTAGTAATATGATACATTTTAGCTTAAATCTTTTCTTTCTTTGGAAAAAAAATAATCAAAGTCTTGCTTAATAAACAATATATACTGAAAACGATATGTTCATAGGATAGTTTATGAATATTGGAGGTTTTCAAAATGAATTCATGAAGAAGGAATAGAATTCAGTGAAATCTGTGGAATGTGACATGAACTAGAATCAAGTGGTTGATAGCTGAAAGCTTATAAGCGTAAGAGATCCAGTTGTAAGAAGCTGTTAAATAAACGCTTCCTGAATAGTCAATTAGATCACTGAACTACGTTTTGATGTTATGGTGTAGAATATCATGATAGTCGACGAGAGTGAAGTTTGATGAAACAGATGTTTCTTGTCAATTCTTCAAACTACTTTGTTCAACTAAACCTCCACCTTCTCAGAAGAATCTTCGTCGAATAACCAAATCTCATATTGAACCATTTAATAAGCATATTTTAATTTTGAAATTTGAAATTTTCATATCCAACGGTCTAATCGAAAAACTAAACGTCGTTTTATCAGAAGAGGGGTTTGTGAAGAAATTTGCAATTTAATAGTTGAATGTATGAGTCAGTTGAAACAAGACCACGGTGGAAAATCTAGAATCACTGGTGATTTAGCTTCAATTTACCAATTAATTCAATTATTAAATTAACAAGATCTCCAGAAGTCCCTTTCTGATAATAATCGTCATGTGCTCACTAGTGACTAGCTTCAAGTGGTATTTCCTGGAGTTCTAGTAAGAAGCAGTGACCACTGGAGTCGAACCAGGTTTGTTGTGAGGCAGTTACTTGCTGAAGACAATGGTGGACAGTCGCGCAATATCTTACATTGGTTGAAGTTAGGCATTAACATCGTTGAACATCGGCTAAGTGATCAAGAGGTTAAGCGTCCGCACGCGAGACCGTAAGTCCTGTATTCTAATCCCGCGGCGCGATTTCGGATGCTCATTGCTGAGGAGTCCCATACCAAAACGAAACGACCGTCCAGTGCTTTCACGTTTTCCATAGTGGTCTAGCTTCAATTGGCTCATTAATTCAACTACTAAACAGCATTTGCCAAATTACGTTTGTGAAATTCATTCAAGAGTTACAACGTGAATCAAGAAAAGATACCATTACGACAATCGTAAACCGAGTCACTATACATCGTGATAAAAATTTGAAAAATTTGAACTCATTAGTATTGGAACTTACAACAATCTGAAGGTAAAAAATCACTATTGTCTTTTGAGGGTGTGTGTGTGTTCTACCTAAGCAACATAAATCCAACCAATGGTGTATACGGTAAACTTACTATATCATAAGTTACCTCAGTTATTAACCGAATTATTAGAACCGATTCGTAGAAAAATGATGGTCCATAGTTTAAGATACAGATTTCAGTTTTCCAAAACAAAATTTGGATCAAAAGAATATATTTGTTGAACTCATGGTATCTTTTGATGTTTGCTCATAATTTACTAGTATTCAATTGGAAAAAACTATCAATGTACTACGCAAACAATCTGAATTACTTATTTTGACGAAAAATTAAGAAAATTATCAGTATGGGATTGTGGAGATTATTATGTTTTTGATTGAGATCATGAAGCGATTGACGTTAGATCACCATTAAAAACCTGGAAGCACTGAATGGCCATTTCGTCCTAATATGGGACTCCTCAACAGTGTGCATTCACGATTCCGATCCGAACCAGGACGAAACAGCCGTCCAGTGACCCCAGGTTTTCAATAGTGTTCTAATATCAATCGGTTCAGTGAGAAAATTATTATCACTTTTCATGAAAGCAATTCATTTCCAAGTCGAAAATCGATAATACAAATAAACAGATGTAGTGATCATGGGATCTGTCTTGATCAATTTCATCATGTCTAATTTGAAAAGAATTAAAGTGAAATATTAAATCTAGATGATAACACGCTACTCCAGATATGTTGATGAGACATCGGTTATCTGTTATTATGATAATCGCTTGCTTCGTCACTTCAATATCT